TTGGTAAAGTAGTATTTATATATAATTAAACTAAATTGTATACAAGTATTTTTGCTAGCACTTTGGATGTGAATTAAGAGACTGTTGACGGTCAAATTCAAGTCAATTTCCTTCACTTCATTAATACCATGTCATATATATTGATCAAATGTCTCGGTCAGGTAATAATTTTTTTTATTGGTGAAAGAATAATTTTTTATTCATATAAAAAAATTTCAATTGTTGGATTGAGTCAATGTTTTAATTTGACCAATTGATAGGGCTGTAATGAGCTGGAATGAGCAAAGTTTTAAGTTGCTCATACTATTTTTTTAGTTTTGCAAATAAGGAATTTTTTGAGACACCGTTACGGGACTACTCTATAGAATAAATTTTAAATATATTCATACACTACCAACTATGTATATATATAAAAAAGTCCAGACACATCATCAAGAAGGATTGTCTAAATGATTTGAATCTGCCATGCTTCACAAGGACCCTTGAAAAATCATGCATGAGGAAAATTATTAGGTAGTTTTGGAGTATCATGTGATGTCATCTATGTGGTGCTTGAGGTAAATGAAAAATTGTAACTTCACAAAATAGACAATATGTCACATAATATTTCCAAATACTTAATAATTACTCCAATAATTAACCATCAGGTGAATAAGATAAATTATTTAGTGGTATTAAAGTAGCGGTCAACGTCATTCATTGCATGACACTAATTGTGTTATTTTTCAAAAAACGTTACATAAAACAAATTAAGTCACATTATTTTAACTAATAAAAATTAAATTGTGACAACACATAATTTTTGGATGAATAGGCAGTTTTGATTGCAAATGAGGATACATATGGGGGTGGACGGCAAACATGGTTGTGATGCCTCTCGGGTGAGGTAACAAACTTGCAAAGCCAAGCCCATGGAGGAGGGAGCTTTTGACCACTTCATATGAGTTGTCCCCCTTTTTCAGTCCTTACTTTCTTCTTTCTTTTTCTTTTCCTTAAATTTTCATTGCGTATTTGTATGTTAATTATTTAATATTTGTCCAACAAATCTAATTGATATTTTAAATTAATCGGTTTTTGGTTGTATTTCTGCTTTAGTTAAACCAATTCAGTTCATGATTTTATTGGAAGTGATGATTTCTTGGTAGGGACTTTCATCTCTCCCATGACTAACTAGACTAGATGTTGAGTCGTGAGACAAGTTACACCTAAGTCATGTTTGTTTGGGTGGACATGAGCTTGGGATTAGATTAATAGTCTAATAAAATTATCAATCCGATATTTGGTTAAATAATTGAAATACGAACTAACAATCTATCCAGATATAGTATCCCACATATAATAGACTATTCAATCTCATAGAGGGGGATGGGATATAAATTAGAGGATTTAGCCAAAGTCTGAATTATTAGTCCCTCCTTATAATCCGAACTCAATCCAAATATAGGATAAGATACACGATCCAAAGGGATTCATAATTCTAGGACTATTAGTCATAGGAATGTTAATCCAACATAATCCAGTCCGTCCAAACAAACATGACTCTATTGGTATGGCGCCAACTGAGACAAAAGGGTAGCCTAGTGGTTGGGAGCTGCTTTAGGCACGGGGATTGGTTTCCCCTTCTCTATTTATATGAACTCATTAGTTGTTTGTTTTTTTAAATTTGTGTGTTGATTAGTTAATTATAATACAAGTTGGCAATGTACACACTTTGCCAGCCATAGAAGCAAGTGAGTTGTACGAGTTTTTTGAAACTCTATTTATAACCTTTCAAATGACTACTGCTCCACTGCACTTTTGACACCCATGTTCTAACAGAGACCATAATAAACTAAAATGATTAACAAATGAATTCAACAGTCTAAAGTAAAACCATCATGGTACGTAGGTCCGGGCCTGAGATTTCTGGGGTCCAAAGCCGATAATTAACTAATAAATTTCTGGGGGTCTTCATATTTTTTTTTTCATTGAATGAAAAAAAAAAAAAATTGAAAGTAAAGAACAAAAGATTTGTGACAAAATCACAAAAAACACTTAGCATTACATTACAATAATTAATAAGTATCTCTTGATCCTTACTCTTCTTGTATTTTAGGAAGCAAATAAATCAATCATACTTGCATAATCTAATTTTTTTGCAAAATTATTGTCAATGAATAACAGTGCTAATTATTTTAAATGGGTCTTTTAATTTTTTAATGGATCAATTTATTTTAAGTTAATTTGGGCCTGCCTTAATTTTTTTTTTTGACTTAAAATATACTTAATATATTAGACTAAACTATAATAAGAGAGACCTCTTTTTTGGGTCTATTTTCAATGGATAACAATGCTAATTTTTTTGAATGGCCTTTCAATTTTTTAATGGGTCAATTTATTTTAAGTTAGTATGAACTTTTTTTAATTTTTTTAGACTTAAAACATACCTAATATATTACGCTAAATTATAATAAGAGGAGGCCCCTTTTTTTAGTCTATTTTGAGGGGCCCTAGGCCATGGCCTTGTGCCCTATGCCCCAAGGCCGGCCCTGATGGTACACTTAATGCCTACTAAGGCTTCGTTTGGGAAATGGATTAGCTTTTTGACTTCTTGTTTATTTTAGCCTGGGACTAAAAAGCCTTATTTGAAAAGGACTTTTTGACTTTTTTGACTTTTTGTGAGAGAAATAATGTAATGATTATGAGTTTAATGTGATGTTTTGTCTTATTGAGTTAAAAACTTTATTTTGTCTTTTTATTGTTAAAATAACCCCAAACTCAACCCAACCCAACCCAACACTCCTTCCCAAATGAGCTATATATATATATATATAGCTCATGAGTACAAGCACAAAAGCTGATCAAAGTCCATTAATGCTCACCCATCATCCCCTATAGAAATAGGATTACAAACCTAGCTATAACATTAACAATTCCAATTAATTAACAAGGGCACTGCCATTTGTGTCATGCCATTTTAACTACCATATTAGTGGAAATATCATTGGATAGTCATAAAATAATTTCAATTTTATAATAATGTTGTTGAATACAAGTCATTTTTATATGTTATTTCTGTATACGATAACTTTTTTTTTTTTTAAATATTAAAGTCATTTAGTATCTCCTATACTTCTAAAATTGACCGCATACCCTCCAAGGCTCTCCACATATAAGAGACGATGAGGCAAAATATTTATCATATTGCTTGCCCTGTTAGAGCTCCATTTTATAATGACACTAGACAAAATGTCTACTCCAAATGCCTCTCCTACTAGAGATGCTCTTCTAAATTATTTGGTGGACATAAAGTAATGGGTTTGAGTCTCATTAGTGGTCGTTGGGAGCACGAGACTCTAGAGCCACTAGCTCCTTGTCATTATATGCCCCTTTGGATGGTATTTACGATTTAACTCACCTAGATGAAGCATGCCCAGATCCTCTAGAGTGAGAGTTATCTAAAGTTTGGTAGAGTGATACAAAATAGCATTAGTTTATACAAAACAACATTGTCTTGTTTATCTCAAAAAAAAAAAAAAAAATGCTTTGTTTAAGGCCAAAAAATAAAAGTAAAAAAGGAGGGCAAAACGAAAAGAAAAGAGAAAGAGATCGCCAATGCTGATTCTTCATCACCAACCTCTCTCGCCGACAACAGCCTCCTCTCCCCCCACCCCGCTAACCACTGCCAATCTTTACCCCACCCTCCTCCAGCCACCCATCGAATCCCAAAAAAAAAAAAAAAAAAGAGAAGAGTCTGTGTGTGTGTGCGCGCGCGTGTGAGAGAGAGAGAGAGAGAGGGAAAGAAGAAGAAGAAGAAGAAGAAGAAGAGGATGAAAGAAGAAAGTAGCAAAGAAGGAGAAAAATGAGGGTGATGTTGTGGTGTAGTGGTGGTTTTCGGTGATGGTTTCCCGACAATGGTTTCAAGCAATCTCTCACTTCATTTTGTGTGTGTGTTTGTTTTCTTTTTTTGGGGAGGGGGGAGGCGGGATTCAATAGGTAAAAAAAGGCGGGTGGGGTAGAGATTGGCAATGGTCGATAGGGTGGGGGAAAGAGGCAGCTACTGCCAACGAGAGAGGTTATTGATGAAAAACTAACGCCTGCTCTCTCTCTCTCTCTCTATTCAGCTCTTCTTTTTTATTTTATTTTATTTTCTTTTATATTAAACAAAACATCGTTTTGTATCACTCTATCAAACTCTAGACAACCCTCACTTCTAGAGGATCTGCACGAATAAGAAGCACTTGCAACTTATGTTTAGGCTTGTCTAGACCCTTTATGTCCGGTACCCCAATAGGAAGGATCTTCTTCCCACCCAAGAAAGGTTGCCATAAGTTGGTCACCTCCTCCTATTCTCTTTTAGCTGACCAAAAAAAAAATTAGGGACAATAACAAGAAAAACCCAGTGTTTGAGCTTTGTAACAAAACAAACCTTACGTTTTTTTAGTTTTATCAATTTAAATCTTAATCTTTTGATTTATTTTCAATCTAAATGATTTGCCTATGTCTGTTTAATAAAATAGACAGAAAGAGTAATGTAGCTATTAAAATCAATGTGGGTATACACAAAATGTCTAAAATACCCTTTTTCATTGAGTTTAATGGCATACTTATTTTCCCTTCAATTTTACTCAATGGAAATAGGCAAATGGTCTAGGTTATAAAAATAAATCAAAAGTTTAGAGTTTAAATGATAAAATTTAACACTCAAAATTTATTTTGTTACAATAGTCAAATCTAAATAAATGATTTGCCTATGTTTAATAAAATAGACAGAAAGAGTAATTTAGCTATTAAAATCAATGTGGGTATACATAAAATGTCTAAAATACCCTTTTTCATTGAGTTTAATGACATACTTATTTTCTCTTCGATTTTACTCAATGGAAATAGGCAAATGGTCTAGGTTATAAAAATAAATCAAAAGTTTAGAGTTTAAATGATAAAATTTAACACTCAAAATTTATTTTGTTACAATAGTCAAACTCTGGAAAAAAAATTTCTTTTTTTTTTTTTTGGTGTAATTTCATTACAAGGAAATGAAGCTAGTAATTTGAATTTCAATTACTTCTTCTATTAATGTTTATTCATCTGTACCTTAAAATAAATCAAGTCCCTTCAACAGTAAAACAAAAATGGGAGGGTGCCAATTAATTGTCCAAGGAGTTGATATTGTTAAAAAAAAACTATATGAAGAATTTTTAAGTAGTTTGGCATACAAGAGAGAGCCCCAGTCAAGTAGTCTTCAAAAAAAGGTCCATTCAAAAGGTTTTGGCAGAGTCCTACAAAGGGCAAACAGATCAATCACAACAAAGTCGGTTACAATTGGTCAATCTTGTTTAAAACATACAAATCTTTTGATTGTCAAGTCGAGCACATGTAAATCAACTTTAACCGCTAAATGATGTGGAAAAGAAGGAAAGGAAAAAAAAATGGAAATGGGGATTTCATGATTACCTCGTCTGATTAGCACTATAATCTATAGAAAGGATATTAAGATTCTGTTGTGGCTAGCTTTTCTTCTCTCATACACTCAACGAAATCATCAAGGATTAATGGCCAAGCTTCGATTGTATCATAATTTTTAAGGTCTGGAAAGCTTATCTGCAATAAACAGGAAAGAGTAGGAGGAAGAACTCTTCATAAATGCAACTGAAACTGGCTCAAAATAACAGAAATAATATATCTAATGGAGTCAAAGATGGAGCCTGTTTGTTTCCACTTTTAAGAAAAGCTAGCTTAAAAAAAAAAAAAATAACCTAAATTTTTATGTACAAGTACTAAAGCATGTGTTTTAAAATTTCAAGCTAGAGAAGTTGCAAACGTGTAGATAAACAGTTCGGTTAGGTCAGAGTTGAGGGCAAGTTTAGCACCTAACTGAACCTTTCGGTTTTGACAATTGAGGAACCGACACAAACTATATCGTATGGTTCATTTTTGTCAGTTTGGCATAGAAGAGGGATTTACACGAGGTCATTCAGAACAAATAAAGAAAAAGAATGAGTGTAACTCTCTAAATGTATACTCCCTAGTTGTTATCACAAAAAAGTGTATTATGTTAGTCACTTATCTTGTAATGCTCAAAGAATTAAAATATAAAAATATTTAAATATAATATTTTAGTCGGTTCAGTTTTTATCGATGGAAAAAATTTCAAAACCAAAACAGGTCGCACGTTATGAAAAACAAACCAAAATCCAAAATTTTGGTCAGTTTTGAGCACATTACACCCCTAAAAAAGTGGGAAACAAACAGGCACGCAAAATATTAATGCCAGTGCCATATCATGTGGCACAAAGGGGTACTAATGAGAGGTACATTCAGCGAAGGGAAAGAAAAGCTAACATACCCAGAAACCTCGTCCATAATTAACTTGTTTGGTTTTGGTTTTCAAAAAACACTTTTTAAAAAATTTTGCCTTTTCATTTTCCATATTTTTTTGTTTTCAATGAATTTTTTTTTAATATTTTAAGCAATTGTTTTTAATTTTTAGACACACCTAACATAAATACACTTCAAAAGTATAATATTTATAAAAAAAAAAATCTTTAAAAAATTCACTAATTACCAAATATACAAAAAAAAAATTAAAAAAAAAAAAGACAATTGAGTACACTTTTCATATTTTTGTATATTTACTAAATTTTTCACAAATATTTTCCTATTTTTACATCTAAGAAAAAAGGTCCATTCAAAAGGTTTTGGCAGAGTCCTACAAAGGGCAAACAGATCAATCACAACAAAGTCGGTTACAATTGGTCAATCCTGTTTAAAACATACAAATCTTTTGATTGTCAAGTCAAGCACATGTAAATTAACTTTAACCGCTAAATGATGTGGAAAAGAAGGAAAAGAAAAAAAAATGGAAATGGGGATTTCATGATTACCTCGTCTGATTAGCACTATAATCTATAGAAAGGATATTAAGATTCTGTTGTGGCTAGCTTTTCTTCTCTCATACACTCAACGAAATCATCAAGGATTAATGGCCAAGCTTCGATTGTATCATAATTTTTAAGGTCTGGAAAGCTTATCTGCAATAAACAGGAAAGAGTAAGAGGAAGAACTCTTCATAAATGCAACTGAAACTGGCTCAAAATAACAGAAATAATATATCTAATGGAGTCAAAGATGGAGCCTGTTTGTTTCCACTTTTAAGAAAAGCTAGCTTAAAAAAAAAAAAAATACCCTAAATTTTTATGTACAAGTACTAAAGCATGTGTTTTAAAATTTCAAGCTAGAGAAGTTGCAAACGTGTAGATAAACAGTTCGGTTAGGTCAGAGTTGAGGGCAAGTTTAGCACCTAACTGAACCTTTCGGTTTTGACAATTGAGGAACCGACACAAACTATATCGTATGGTTCATTTTTGTCAGTTTGGCATAGAAGAGGGATTTACATGAGGTCATTGAGAACAAATAAAGAAAAAGAATGAATGTAACTCTCTAAATGTATACTCCCAAGTTGTTATTACAAAAAAGTGTATTATATTAGTCACTTATCTTGTAACGCTCAAAGAATTAAAATATAAAAATATTTAAATATAATATTTTAGTCGGTTCAGTTTTTGTCGATGGAAAAAATTTCAAAACCAAAACAGGTCGCACGTTATGAAAAACAAACCAAAATCCAAAATTTTGGTCAGTTTTGAGCACATTACACCCCTAAAAAAGTGGGAAACAAACAGGCACGCAAAATATTAATGCCAGTGCCATATCATGTGGCACAAAGGGGTACTAATGAGAGGTACATTCAGCGAAGGGAAAGAAAAGCTAACATACCCAGAAACCTCGTCCATAATTAACTTGTTTGGTTTTGGTTTTCAAAAAACACTTTTTAAAAAATTTTGCCTTTTTATTTTCCATATTTTTTTGTTTTCAATGAATTTTTTTTAATATTTTAGGCAATTGTTTTTAATTTTTAGACACACCTAACATAAATACACTTCAAAAGTATTATATTTGTAAAAAAAAAAATCTTTAAAAAATTCACTAATTACCAAAAATACAAATAAATAAATAAATAAATAAATAAAATAAAATAAATAAGACAATTCTGTACATTTTTCATATTTTTGTGTATTTATTAATTTTTTAAAATATTTTTTCACAAATATTTTACTATTTTTACATCTAAGTAAGGTGCATCTGAAAAAAGTAAAATATTGTTTAAAATTTTAAAAATATTTACTAAAACCAAAAAAATATGAAAAACAAAAAAATCAATTTTGGAAAACTGAATTCAAAAAACTAAAACCAAACACATTGAATGTTTTCGTATCGAAGTGCCTTACTTGCCAGCAAGTGAAGGCCGAGCATCAGAGGCCAGCGGGTTTGTTGCAACCCTTGCCTATTGCCGAGTGATGAAATTATAGACAAAATTTGGTTATGTATTGTTGCTTTTCAGCAAAAGAGCTCAATATATAGATCTACCTACCAAAATAGATACCAAAAAGATTGTACAACAGTCTGAACAACAGAAATAAACAAAAGCGAAAAGTAAAATAAGTAGCAAAACTGAAAAATCGGGATACCTGGCTGCAAAATCGTACAAAGCTTGTCCATTGATCCATGTTAATTACCTTGTAATCATTATGGATCTGATGAAAAATCAAGTCCAAACATCACAAATCAAATCATTGGATACCATTATAATTAAGATGTTGATCATGATCCCCAAGATCAAGATGCATTTCTCTAAAGAGTAACGCTATTCATAAATGGATTGCTTACCAATTTTCTTACTAGACACCAAGGCAATGGGCCTACATGTATTTATTAATAGAGGCCCCATGTAACGCCCTCAAAGTGGTAAGAAATCCATTGTATAGTGTTATTCGGTTAGTTATTGTCAATGTCATTACATCATCCTTCATGTCTAGTGGTAAGAAATCCATTGTATAGTGTTATTCGGTTAGTTATTGTCAATGTCATTACATCATATTTTTAGTTTTACAAAACTCATCAACAATAAATTTCCACATATGTACTCTAATATGTATAATCATAAATTTGCAATAATAACATCACAAGTAATTCAAACTTGTCGATTTACATATACAACAAAGTCTTTAATATATTATTAATTCAACAAAACTACAAAGACGGTGGGAATGTGCCATTTTCAATTAATCGAACAGGGATAGTGAGACAAATACAAAATGAATAATCACATAGACCCAAAAATAAAATTCAAAAGTTGTTTTGTAAACACCTAAGAATCATGAGGGTAGAAAGAAACAAGTGCTGCCCACCTTTAAATACTTGGTGAATAAGGCAACCTGGGACGGAAATTGGGACCCCATAACAATATCTAGCAATTCACAAATGCATTCAACATCTATCCATTTTTGCTTTTCTTCTGAAAGAGAGAAAAAATGGCCAGCAAAATTAAAAATAAATAAATGATAAAAATTTAAATCAAACTCAAAACTGAAACAAGATTATGTCATGAAACAATGCGGTGCACTTCCATTCACTTAAACACATGCTTGACAAGTCTAAAAGCTCACCTGTTAGGCAGAATTGAAATGCAAAAGAATAGAAATCTGCAAAATTTTGAGGCATCCTAACCTTTTCAGAAAACAGTACAAGAGGGATTTACATGAGGTCATTGAGAACAAATAAAGAAAAAGAATGAATGTAACTCTCTAAATGTATACTCCCAAGTTGTTATTACAAAAAAGTGTATTATATTAGTCACTTATCTTGTAACGCTCAAAGAATTAAAATATAAAAATATTTAAATATAATATTTTAGTCGGTTCAGTTTTTGTCGATGGAAAAAATTTCAAAACCACAACAGGTCGCACGTTATGAAAAACAAACCAAAATCCAAAATTTTGGTCAGTTTTGAGCACATTACACCCCTAAAAAAGTGGGAAACAAACAGGCACGCAAAATATTAATGCCAGTGCCATATCATGTGGCACAAAGGGGTACTAATGAGAGGTACATTCAGCGAAGGGAAAGAAAAGCTAACATACCCAGAAACCTCGTCCATAATTAACTTGTTTGGTTTTGGTTTTCAAAAAACACTTTTTAAAAAATTTTGCCTTTTCATTTTCCATATTTTTTTGTTTTCAATGAATTTTTTTTAACATTTTAAGCAATTGTTTTTAATTTTTAGACACACCTAACATAAATACACTTCAAAAGTATTATATTTGTAAAAAAAAAATCTTTAAAAAATTCACTAATTACCAAAAATACAAAAAAAATAAATAAATAAAATAAAATAAAATAAAAAAAGACAATTCTGTACATTTTTCATATTTTTGTGTATTTACTAATTTTTTAAAATATTTTTTCACAAATATTTTACTATTTTTACATCTAAGTAAGGTGCATCTGAAAAAAGTAAAATATTGTTTAAAATTTTAAAAATATTTACTAAAAACAAAAAAATACGAAAAACAAAAAAACAATTTTGGAAAACTGAATTCAAAAAACTGAAACCAAACACATTGAATATTACCCAAAATAAAAGTGGTTCAGATTCTAATAGAGTATTGGGGGACTATATCTAGAATGAAATTGATTTTGAATGAAATTATAGACAAAATCTGGTTATGTATTGTTGCTTTTCAGCAAAAGAGCTCAATATATAGATCTACCTACCAAAATAGATACCAAACTGATTGTACAACAGTCTGAACAACAGAAATAAACAAAAGCGAAAAGTAAAATAAGTAGCAAAACTGAAAAATCGAGATACCTGGCTGCAAAACCGTAGAAAGCTTGTCCATTGATCCATGTTAATCACCTTGTAATCATTATGGATCTGATGAAAAATCAAGTCCAAACATCACAAATCAAATCATTGGATACCTTTATAATTAAGATGTTGATCATGATCCCCAAGATCAAGATGCATTTCTCTAAAGAGTAATGCTATTCATAAATGGATTGCTTACCAATTTTCTTACTAGACACCAAGGCAATGGGGCCTACATGTATTTATTAATAGAGGCCCCACCACCTTCATATCTAGTGGTAAGAAATCCATTGTATAGTGTTATTCGGTTAGTTATTGTCAATGTCATTACATCATATTTTTAGTTTTACAAAACTCATCAACAATAAATTTCCACATATGTACTCTAATATGCATAATATCATAAATTTGCAATAATAACATCACAAGTAATTCAAACTTGTCGATTTACATATACAACAAAGTCTTTAATATATTATTAATTCAACAAAACTACAGAGACGGTGGGAATGTGCCATTTTCAATTAATCGAACAGGGATAGTGAGACAAATACAAAATGAATAATCTCATAGACCCAAAAATAAAATTCAAAAGTTGTTTTGTAAACACCTAAGAATCATGAGGGTAGAAAGAAACAAGTGCTGCCCACCTTTAAATACTTGGTGAATAAGGCAACCTGGGACGGAAATTGGGACCCCATAACAATATCTAGCAATTCACAAATGCATTCAACATCTATCCATTTTTGCTTATCTTCTGAAAGAGGGAAAAAATGGCCAGCAAAATTAAAAATAAATAAATGATAAAAATTTAAATCAAACTCAAAACTGAAACAAGATAATGTCATGAAACAATGCGGTGCACTTCCATTCACTTAAACACATGCTTGACAAGTCTAAAAGCTCACCTGTTAGGCAGAATTGAAATGCAAAAGAATAGAAATCTGCAAAATTTTGAGGCATCCTAACCTTTTCAGAAAACAGTACACAATCAGTAATAGCACTATTAAGAAGTCTTCATCATCATGGAATCATCAATAATCAACCAGATGAAAACTACAAGAATAAAATACCTTCCAAGAGTGCATTCTTCAATTTATTTACAGTGTCAACAGTAAGAGCTTTCAGTCCTCTTTGCCACTCATCCTGTTACAAAGAAGGAAATTTAAACTATCAATTTTAAGAGTATTTTCTAGCTGGATTTTTCATCCATCTCCAGAACAGAAATATAATAGAATACTTGAGAAAAGTGATGATGAAGACTAGTCCTTCCATGGGTACACAAACAAGATAATTACACAGAGCAGAAGCATTACAGCATAAAACTAGTCGACCAATTGAACACTTCATAAGTAGGCAGGTATCAACAAATAAATATCTAGAACAGAGAAAAAAAGGTATGACATTAAGAATTAAATGCAATGCAGATCAAGTTCCACATTTTGAAATATCCATGCTAAGTTGACCATCGTGGATTGGGGTCCCGTGCTGGAAGCCATATAACATAAACCATTGTGAAGACAGCTCGAGTACAAGCCGCTTCAAGCAAGGCCCTCGGATTTTACCCCTTGGTCTTATTTTTTGCAAATTTTTGACTCCAAAACCTACCGGGACTGGGAATGAGTCAAATAGGTCAATTTTCTGAAATTAAAACTAATGGCTCATGTAGTATATATCTATTACAAGTATGTAGTCATCTCTGCATAGATTATGTCAATCTGCAAACCGCAACACATTTGAATGCTCAATCTAACCTATCAATCCATTACAACCAAGCTCAAAATTTGCCCATGGAAATTGCCAACTCGTATACACCAACACCATTACCCCCAAAATTCCAAGATCCAAACATAGTATTATGGATGCTGAGAGGAGAATAACAGTAGCTGTTACCTTGACTACCCATAATGCATATGAACAAAAAGAAGACGGCTTGTTCTACAATATGAAAACTTTTTTTATGGGCTGTTGGATTTAGCTTTTGTTTGTTTGGCTTTTTTGCTAGCTTTTAGTTGTGCTGACGTATATGCATGAAACTGAACATACATATACTCATCTATTACCGCAAGGCTCTACTATTTTCTTTGTACATATTGTCATATACAGTTCAAATAGGTATTTTAGTATTTTTCATGGTCCTATATTGTAATATTCTCCAATTTTCCAAATAGTCTACTTTGACAAAGGACAAAAATTATAAATATCCAAGAAAGCAGATAAAATTAGATACCATCCAAACAATTTATCTTATACCAACAGAATAGTAGTGTCAAAATATATATATATATATATAT